ACGTGTGCTCACTTTGGATTTTCCAAAACTTTGTCCCGTATTCAGGAAAGATATTATTGGCCCAGATGCGTGTTGATGTGCTTAAGTTTGTCAGGTCGTGTAAAGTTTGTGGTGCTCAGAAGACACCAAATTATGCTCCATTAGGTAAAATGGGTAAGCAGAGAGAGGCCAAGTTTCCTTGGCAAATAGTTGCAATAGATCTGATAGGTCCTTTGTTCGTTCAAAGAAAGGTTATACGTGGTTATTAGTAGTTGCTGATTGGTTTAGTAAATATACTTTAGTCCAACCTTTGAGAAAGGCCACGGCTAAGAATATTGTTGAGTTTTTGGAAAATGATGTTTTCCTAATGTTTGGTGTTCCTCAATATGTGATTTGTGATAATGCCTCAAATCTGAACAATCCTCTCTTAATTGAGCTCTGTAATAGGTATAACGTTCAGAAAGTATGGTTTAGCCCAGTATATGCACCTCAGTGTAATTTTGTGGAGAGGAACAATAGAACCATTGGTACAGCAATACGTACGTATGTTAAAGACCACGTAGATTGGGACAAGAATTTAGCAAAGATCAGACAAGCTATTAACACTGCAAAGCATGAAGTGACTGGATATACTCCAGCTTTCCTGAATTATGGCCGTCATGTTCCTTTAAGTGGAAACTATTATGGTGTTGATCATAAGGATCAACAGAATCAAGATATCGAGATAATTCCAGGTGACCGTAATATGTATGCTTCAGAAGTCAAAGGTTTAGATAAAGTTTTTGAAAAGGTTAAGGCTAATCTTCGAAAAGGATATGAACGTAACGCTAGAAGTTACAACTTACGTAGAAGAGAAGTCCAATTTCAAGTGGGTGATAGAGTTTGGAAAAGAAATAAGGTTTTGTCTTGTGCTGTCAACAAGTTTATGTCCAAACTAGCACCGAAGTATATTGAAGCAACTATCAAGGAAAAATTGTCACCTGGTTTATCGTTTGTCAGATTTAAATGGTTCAGATCTTGGTAAGTGGCACATTAAAGATTTAAAGCCTTTTGTGTCAGATGAGGACAATATGTCATCTTTAAGTAATTAGTTCATCCTATCCCATGTCTGTATTTTCGAGTTTATATGTTGATTTGATTTCATCCCTTCGGAATATTGTTTCACTTTTGATAATTTTAATTCAGGTAACCCATTTGGGAGACACATGTGAGAATCACATTTTGTCATATGTAGGTATATAGATTTAGGGTCTATATCCTAATTTTTTTTGTAGAACCGTTGCCGAATTCCCTGTCTCGCTAGGCGTATAGTGGAGATAGTAACGCCTACCTGTTAAGTGTAGAGCAATTTATTTTGGATTTGTGTATAGCACTTGGTTTAGGCAACGAGGTGTCATGGCTATGCCTGCCCGACAAATCACTTGTGTTACTGCTGTGAATGTCAGCGAGGTTCACTGCAGGGCATAAGGTTAGCTTCCCCAAGGCATAGAAACTCATGTCACCTACAGTTCAAGTAGAGTCAAAAATTTCAGTCTACTCGACTTTAAAGAGTCTGGCGATCGATGGCACGCTAGCCCATTCTTTGTAACTAACTTTGTTTTTGTTGTTTAATCCCACGCTAGCCATCATCTAAAAGATATTATTAAGAAGTTTCGACTCAGTTAAGAGGTCATCTTCTGATTTGGTTTTTGTTGTTTTGCCTTTATCAAAAACTGGATAAGAATTATCCGAGTTTTTTCTTTTAAGAAGGGGCATTGTAGCGTTTTTTTATTTAAGTGTATAGAAAAGATTTCTGTGTTACGTCCCTGTTGTTTTTACCAAAGAAAACAATCGAAATAATATTTCAAGTTTTTTTGACGAGATTTTTAAATGCGTATATTTCTACCGATTCAAAAGTAAATATAGATGTTTTTTTGTCTGTGTTTAGATTCAAATATCGAACCCTTTGTTATAAGCCAGGTAAAACTCAAGTTTAAAATACGCACGTATTTTGTTAATTTGTATTATGTAAATTTATGATGCCCCCTGATAAAAAAAAAAAGGTTTTATTTGTTTTCTTCGTTAAAAACGCAATAAATCATGAATTCCCCTAATATTAAAGTTGTTTTTCGTTATTAGTCGAGGGTCAAAAAAAAAGGATATTTGTTTGTTTAGGCAATAAAGGAACATTTAAAATTTGTTTTTTTGTCGATACGAGCGAGGGGATATTGTTTTGGTTCTGGAGTTTGTGGAGAGGTTAGCTGCAAGACGGAAGGGAAATTTAGGGAGAGTTTCTTGTAAAATGTAACGAAGCAAGGGAGTCGAAGAACAGATTTGAAACGGTGTAGATGTTATACAATGTAGAGTCCAAGAAAAGATTTGAAACTGGGCAGACGGCTGACAATGTAGAAAGTCGGTAAAGAGACCGGCTAAAAAGTGTTGAAAATAGTAGACTATATTCTATGTAATATGTCAAATTTGAAAGGAGTAATCACTATTTTCATTTTTCTAAGTACCTAAGGGATTTGTGTTGCCTGCAAAAATTTTCGAAAGATAATCTCACATGTTGCCGTTGTGTCCAGTTTTATGTATTCCTGTTTTTTAAGAAGCCCTTTCCAAAGTCTTGTGTTCCAAATTTTTAACCTCAAGTTTGTAGTATTTGTCCTAAGAAGCCGTCCCAGAGTATGTCTCACAGTATGGAAATAGATTTGATCGTGTGGCAGAGAAGGTAACCCCAAAAATCTTAGTGTGTTTAGTGAAACCAAGGTAACCCTTTTTTGTTTTAAACTTTTGAAGGAAAAGAAACATTAAAATAATAATTGCTTTCATACAATTTAAAAGTTTTAATAATTAATATTGTAAATCTTAGAGTGTGGTTATGCTTTCAATTTGATTTGTTCTCCGTTGTAAGTAAGATTAAGATTTTATGTTGACAGCTAGCAGCTAACTTTATTATTTTTTTTGACAATAATTTGCCTTGGTTTTTTAAAGAAGATTAACCTCTCTATGAATGTTTTCATTTTAAAGATATTTCTTTATTTGTAATAAATTATTTCTGACACAGTTTCATTAACAGTACAACAGTTAATATTTCAGTAAAATTTGTAAATATTTATAGCAATCTCCTTTGTAGACAAATAAGCACGTAAGTTTTTGCTAATTTTTGTATTATGTTTATATAATATGTTCTTGTAAAATCTGTATTTTTGAAAACTGTTTGGTGAGACAAAAATAAATGTTTAATTTGTTTCTCTGATCTATTTTGAGTTTTATTTGAAAAAGATATTTTTTTTTTCTATGTTTTTGATATACAATTATTTCCCTAGTTACAACTAGTGGTTGTAATAGGTATAATTGGGCACCTCAAGTGGCGCCCTATATTAAATTTCTTGAGGTGTTTCCGTTAATTTTCATTCTGTTTGTCCCAAGAGATTTGTATAAGTACCCCTTTATTTCTTTTCTTTGTAGTTGTCCAATCCAACCCCCAATATCTTCAACTTATCCACGACCCAGCTCTCCAACAACCAACTGAGTGTCCGTAAGCACTTGTTTCGATTATTTTGTTTGCCCAATCTTGTCTCCCATATTCTTACCCTGTGGTAAGCAAAATAGTCGTTACAACCTTCCACTATAAAGTGAAGAGAGGATTTGTCCCGGCTTCCTTTGATAACTACCACTTTAGTTTTCTGAGATGCTAGCTATAGATCATCAGCATAAGCTACAAGAGTGCATCCTTTTGGCATCTGTAGCCTTCACATTTCGTGGTACAGGACATTACACAGGGTGGGATCTAGTACTAAACCCTGCGATAAATTGATGCTGGTATCTCTTTCCCTTATGGATCTGTCAATAAAGTATCTGTCAATTACGTTGGGCAGGTACTCACTAACACCCAATTCTCTAAGCCGTGACATGACTTCGTGTGTGCCGTGTTAAAGGCATTCTTTACGTCAAGCAGGATAAGAGCCACCAATCTCCTTGTATCCGGCGTGACTGTTACTTCTGTGACCGCATCTATGGTAGATCTTTTGCCTCTAAAACCATATTTGCGGTTGCAAAGCGCATGCTTTTCTTCCAGCCCTCGCTCAAGGCGGCCCTTCACAAGCTGCTCGTACAATTTAGCTATCTAACTAAGAAGGCAAATTGGCCGAAAGCCAAATCTCTTCCTCGCCCCTCGCTTTACCTTTTGCGATAAGGACAACCTTAGCGTGTTTCAACAGTGTTGAAAACTACAGTTGTTTGAGCAGTTTATCTCATGAAAACCTGCAGGTATCTTAATTCGGCGAGTCTTACTGTCTCCAGCATGACTCCATCTATGCCACGTGCCTTTCGGATCTTCATTCGTCTTATAGCCTTGCTAAGTTTCAACTCAGAAAGGGGTTCCGCCTCTACGAAACCAGTAACCCTTTCACACCATTCCTCCACCTGAGGAAAGAGTTTCCGTATTAAATTGAAAAGGAGTTTCTACTACAGAGAAGTGACTTTTCCCTTTTCATTACAGACAATCTTAAAAAATTAAACCATTATTTGTTTTACTTGCATTTGTCCCGTGTTTATGAAGTTGATTATTTCGTTTGATTAATTCGGTTAAGAATTGTGCCAAGTAAAAATGTAAATATGATCTACTAAATAGAGAAGAAATTATTAAAATTTTTCAGCCGATAAAAAGCTAAATTGTTTTGAAGATTTGATGTACCTCGTAGGCAATTGTTTGTCTTTTTAAAAATTCTTTAGGTCAAAATTATAAATCTTGAATTTGTTTAGTTTTAAACTTGTTAAAGGTATAAAATACCTAATTTTTTGTAGTGCCACTGAAGACATACTTTTTGAGGGTAAAAACTGGGATAACAAATATATTTATACAAGAAGCAGGATTAAAAATAGTATATTTTAGGACAAACCCTTCAATTTTCTCATAATCCTTTTATTTTAAATAAAACTTGATACAACTCACACACATTGACCTACTTTCGTTTGTAAAAACTCCTAGAAACCTACAATTCGTTTTTACTATTTACAATGATTTTGGTTTTATATTACAGAAACTCTAGTTACAAACCCAAGACGAATTAAAGTCCTCAGCCTCGACGTCCCTAATTCTCAAATCAGATACTCTCCAGAGTCTGCTCTAGATAAATACGAACTTTATCCAGAAAGTAGACGAAGTATTGGCACTTCAGCAAGAAACTCAATCCCGCAGTGTGTGTCCAGTAAAATACCTTTGAATAAGAAATTTACGGACTTTAATATAGGGTAAGTGCTTATACAATTGAGGCGTTTATTTTAGAAACAACATAAGTCCAAAATTTTGATTTTGCAGAAGATGAAAAAAACGCTCTCTCGAGTTTATTACCATATTTCGAAAAACTTTTAAATTGTACAGTGACGAATATAAGTTAAATAAAGGTTTTCTGACTATTACTTCTTAGACAAAATCTCATGATATTAATAAAAAAAAATCTTGGACTTGTTGTTTTTAATAGAAAGAAAAAATAAAATAAAAGTAATGTTATAAATTTGAATTGTAAGTTACAAAAAATAATTAGGATTCATCACAACTACTACTGTTGTCATCTTCATCGATTTCTAAGGCATCATTACTCTGCAGATTTTGTCGTGTAGAATGCCTTCATAAAAGCTTCGATTTTTTGCATTTCCTAAATACGGTAAGAGATCCCTTAAATTTTTCAGTTTAACAGATGAAATTGGCACAGCTTGCACATAACTTGGTGTGAGTTTTATTAAACTAATTGTTACTACTTTATTTCTGACAATAGAGGATCTCCATGGACCATTGTAGGTATCCTTCAACTTCACTACAGCAGTCTCAGTAATTTCGAACATGCGCATTAGTTTTAGAGAAATTGGCGGTTTAGCTTTTTTCAGAACAGGCGGTTTAGCTTTATGTCAAAAAGCTTTATGTAGAAATACCGATATTTTAGTGCCACCTATCGAGGGATATGTGATGTTTTTGGGAGAAACGAATCTTTGGGGTGATAGAGTTCAGTGTCTTTTACATGATGACGCCACAATCGCGTTTTCGAAAATGTTGTACTTATATTGTTTTTAAAATAAACGCCTCAATTTTATTTTTACTTGAGTCATTTTGTAAAAACATTGTAAAAATTGTATTAAAATATTTAATAAAAAAATTAGCCATGCGTTCAGTGCTGAACTCTGTTGAATACCATTACTTTAATTTAATCTTAACAAACTCTTTTTTTAAGAGAAAATATCACTGTTTCTTAAAAATATCAATTTTCCATTTCGCAGCAGGCCGTCAGACTTCAGCAGTCCTCGAAGAGAAAATCAAAATCAAACAACCGGCCAGGAACAACAAGAAAACTGCCGTTTAAGAAATCTAACCAAACTAAACTACCCCTTTCATCCCTCGGGCGGGGCTTTGCCGCTCGAAAATCGAGGAAAATGCGAGAAATACAAGAAAATTCTGACTCTAAACGGGGATTTTCGTCGAGAAAAAGAAATTCTTATCGAGACAAATGGCTTAAGGAAGCGGGAAACTTCAGGAAGTTTTCGAGAGGGTGTCGGTAGTATGCCGGGTAAGTTTCGTATTTACAGTTTACACAAGATGTTGCGTTTTGGAGTTTTAGCTAATATTACATTTTTCTCTATCGACTGTCATACACGCTAATCAATCTAAAAAAAACATTAAACAGAACAATAGCTGTTATAGTATTATATAGTTGAAAAATAGCACATGACTAAAGAATTAATTATTATGCTCAAATTGAATTCAAGTGTACTTGATGCAAAGATCGCGGTTTTATTTAGAAACGATGGTGAATCACCTTTTATACGACTCTTTAACATGTAGGTGTCCAGACAAACAATCTCGCTGAAGGCTTTATGTGAATGAAAATGTGGATTTATCGACGCATACTGAAGATACCTTCGACAGCAAGAAAACTAAAGAAGAAGTACTATGGGAGAAAATTGCTATAGACTTAGATACTTGAAAATGTCTTATCTGGAACATATATCGAGGGAAAATCGATATACAACAGTACAACCAATCCTTAAAGGCAAAATAGAAGACCGTAGAGGTGTAAGAAGAAAACAGATTTCTTGGTTAAAAAACATTTGTGAATGGACTCAATATAGGACAATTATTATTCCTTGCAATGGTGATCGTCAGCGTCGGATAATTCTGATATGACACATAAAGAAGAAGAAGGCCAAGATATATTCTGATCTGACAAGTAAACCGAAAATAGATAAGTTACTCCTCTGACGAGGTTTGTTTTATTTTTAAATGTATTCGTCACACATTAAATGAAGAGGCATTAGAAAACGTAAATGAAGGCATATTTATTAATAATCTTCTGAAGATCTTTATGAATAAACACTTCTGAATAATCTCTTACTAGCGATACGCAGATGACTCAATACTCGTTGCGGACAGAAGAGAAGGACTACAAATCTTGATTGATCGCATTATTCAATACTGCGAAAGGTATAATGACACTGAATACAAATAAAACAAAAATCATGGTGGTTAGCAAGAACAATATTGAGGAAGACAGTGTTTATGCTAAAGGAAAACTTTTAGGCAGAATGCTCAGATATCCGTACTTAGGTTGCGAACAAAAATAAAATGACATATTAAGATAGCTAGAAGTGCTTTTAATAAGATGAAAGCAATAGCATGGAATGGAAAACTCAACATTGAAATTAGAATTAGAGTATTGAGATGCTACGTGTTCTCTGTCTTGTTATATGGAGTTGAGGCCTGGACAATTACAGAGGTGACAGAGAAAAGACTCAAAATGTGGTGTTATCGAATAATGTAGAAAATATCTTGGAGACACAACACATAACAAATGCGGAACCGCTACGAAGAATGAAAAAAGATAAAGAAATACTCAACACTATAAAGAAAAGAAAAATGAGCTACTTTGCTCACATACTAAGAAACGAGAAATACTAATTAATGCGGCTAGTCGTACAAAGAAAGGAAGGAGGCAAAAGAGGACCGGGAAGAAGACGCACGTCCTGGTTGAAGAATCTAACACAATGGAGTGCGAAAACTTCAATAGAACTTTCAGAACGGCTGCAGATAGAGTCAAATGGGCCATGATGATCGATAATGTCCTTGGGGATGAGGCACGTTAAGAAGAAGAATCCAAAATAAACAAAACTGACCAGAAATTCACTTATAAGCTTTGATGATTTTTTCCAAATTTATATTAAAATTTTTTTTTTTATGTTTTGGTACAAGCACTCGGTCTAGCTTATTACAAAAATGTGTCTTAGTTTGATCCGCTCACTAAAATTTGCCGGAAAAGAGAAAAAATCAAATTAAAAATTTTCTACTTTATCAGCAAATATAGACCTCCAAATGAAAGTTTTCTCACGAACCGTTAGATGTAGGAAAATTCTGAGCATCGCAGAAGAACGAGCGGTCAATTTTATGTAAGAAATGGCCACTCGCTTGACTCTCGGACGAAAATTGACGCCAATATAGCCGAATAACCAAATTTGAAAAAAATCCAAGGCTACCCCCTTTGTTTATTTTTTCAAAATTTAAAAAAAAAAAATATATTTAGGTGCAAGCACTCGGTCCAGCTTATTACAAAAATATCTCTTAGTCTGATCCGCCAACCCAAATTTGCCGGGAAAGAGAAAAAATCGAATTAAAAATTCTTTACTTTTTCAGCAAATATAGACCTCCAAATGAAAATTTTTCTCACGAACCGTTAGATGTAGAAAAATTCTGAGCATCGCATAACAACGAGCGGTCAATTTTATGTAAGAAATGTCCACTCGCCTGACTCTTGGACAAAAATTGACGCCAATATAGCCGAATAACCAAATTTGAAAAAAATCCAAGGGTACCCCCTTTGTTAATTTTTTCCAAATTTTTATAAAAATTTTTCACTTTTTCCAACTTTTTATAAAAAAAAATTTTTTTATGTTTTGGTGCAAGCACTCGGTCTAGCTTATTACAAAAATATGTCTTAATCTGATCCGCCAACCCAAATTTGCCGGGAAAGAGAAAAAATTGAATTAAAAATTCATTACTTTTTCAGCAAATATAGACCTCCAAATGAAAATTTTTCTCACGAACCGTTAGATGTAGAAAAATTCTGAGCATCGCATAAGAACGAGCGGTCAATTTTATGTAAGAAATGTCCACTCGCTTGACTCTCGGACGAAAATTGACGCCAATATAGCCGAATAACGAAATTTGAAACAAATCCATGGGTACCCCCTTTGATCATTTGTTTCAAATTTGTTGTAAAAAAATTTTTTTTTTATGTTTTGGTGCAAGCACTCGGTCCAGCTTATTACAAAAATATGTCTTAGTCTAATCCGCCAATCCAAATTTGCCGGGAAAGAGGAAAAATCGAATTAAAAATTCATTACTTTTTCAGCAAATATAGACATCCAAATAAAAATTTTTCTCACGAACCGTTAGATGTAGAAAAATTCTGAGCATCGCATAAGAATGAGCGGTCAATTTTATGTAAGAAATCTCCACTCGCTTGACTGTTGGACAAAAATTGACTCCAATATAGCCGAATAACCAAATTTGACAAAAATCCAAGGGTACCTCCTTTGTTAATTTTTTTCCAAATTTTTATAAAAAAAAAATTTTTCTTTTATGTTTTGGTGCAAGCACTCGGTTCAGCTTATTACAAAAATATGTCTTAGTCTGATCCGCCAACCCAAATTTGTCGGGAAAGAGAAAAAATCGAATTAAAAATTTTCCACTTTTTCAGCAAATATAGACCTCCAAATGCAAATTTTTCTCACGAACCGTTCGATGTAGAAAAATTCTGAGCATTGCATAAGAACGAGCGGTCAATTTTATGTAAGAAATGTCCACTCGCTTGACTCTCGGACGAAAATTGACGCCAATATAGCCAAATAACCAAATTTGAAAAAAATCCAAGGGTACCCCCTTTGTTCATTTTTTCCAAATTTTTCTAAAACAAAAAATTTTTTTTCTATGTTTTGGTGCAAGCACTCGGTCTAGCTTATTACAAAAATATGTCTTAATCTGATCCGCCAACCCAAATTTGCCGGGAAAGAGAAAAAATTGAATTAAAAATTCATTACTTTTTCAGCAAATATAGACCTCCAAATGAAAATTTTTCTCACGAACCGTTAGATGTAGAAAAATTCTGAGCATCGCATAAGAACGAGCGGTCAATTTTATGTAAGAAATGTCCACTCGCTTGACTCTTGGACAAAAATTGACGCCAATATAGCCGAATAACGAAATTTGAAACAAATCCAAGGGTACCCCCTTTGTTCATTTTTTCCAAATTTTTATAAAAAATTTTTTTTTTATGTTTTGGTGCAAGCACTCGGTCCAGGTTATTACAACAATATGTCTTAGTCTGATCCGCTAACCCAAATTTGCCGGGAAAGAGAAAAAATCAAATTAAAAATTCTTTACTTTTTCAGCAAATATAGACCTCCAAATGAAAATTTTTCTCACGAACCGTTAAATGTAGAAAAATTCTGAGCATTGCATAAGAACGAGCGGTCAATTTTATGTAAGAAATGTCCACTCGCTTGACTCTCGGACAAAAATTGACGCCAATATAGCCGAATAACCAAATTTGAAAAAAATCCAAGGGTACCCCCTTTGTTCATTTTTTCCAAATTTTAATAAAAAATTTTTTTTTATGTTTTGGTGCAAGCACTCGGTCCAGCTTATTACAAAAATATGTCTTAGTCTGATCCGCCAACCCAAATTTGCCGGGAAAGAGAAAAAATCGAATTAAAAATTCTTTACTTTTTCAGCAAATATAGACCTCCAAATGAAAATTTTTCTCACGAACCGTTAGATGTAGAAAAATTCTGAGCATTGCATAAGAACGAGCGGTCAATTTTATGTAAGAAATGTCCACTCGCTTGACTCTTAGACAAAAATTGACGCCAATATAGCCGAATAACCAAATTTGAAAAAAATCCAAGGGTACCCCCTTTGTTCATTTTTTCCAAATTTTTATAAAAAAAATTTTTTTTTATGTTTTGGTGCAAGCACTCGGTCCAGGTTATTACAACAATATGTCTTAGTCTGATCCGCTAACCCAAATTTGCCGGGAAAGAGAAAAAATCGAATTAAAAATTCTTTACTTTTTCAGCAAATATAGACCTCCAAATGAAAATTTTTCTCACGAACCGTTAATGTAGAAAAATTCTGAGCATTGCATAAGAACGAGCGGTCAATTTTATGTAAGAAATGTCCACTCGCTTGGCTCTTAGACAAAAATTGACCCCAATATAGCCGAATAACCAAATTTGAAAAAATCCAAGGGTACCCCCTTTGTTTATTTTTTCCAAATTTTATTAAAAAATTTTTTTTTATGTTTTGGTGCAAGCACTCAGTCCAGCTTATTACAAAAATATGTCTTATTTGATCCGCCAACCCAAATTTGCCGGGAAAGAGAAAAAATCGAATTAAAAATTCTTTACTTTTTCAGCAAATATAGACCTCCAAATGAAAATTTTTCTCACGAACCGTTAAATGTAGAAAAATTCTGAGCATTGCATAAGAACGAGCGGTCAATTTTATGTAAGAAATGTCCACTCGCTTGACTCTTGGACAAAAATTGACGCCAATATAGCCGAATAACCAAATTTGAAAAAAATCCAAGGGTACCCCCTTTGTTCATTTTTTCCAAATTTTTATAAAAATTTTTTTTTTTATGTTTTGGTGCAAGCACTCGGTCCAGGTTATTACAACAATATGTCTTAGTCTGATCCGCTAATCCAAATTTGCCGGGAAAGAGAAAAAATCGAATTAAAAATTCTTTACTTTTTTAGCAAATATAGACCTCCAAATGAAAATTTTTCTCACGAACCGTTAAATGTAGAAAAATTCTGAGCATTGCATAAGAACGAGCGGTCAATTTTATGTAAGAAATGTCCACTCGCTTGACTCTTGGACAAAATTGACCCCAATATAGCCGAATAACCAAATTTGAAAAAATCCAAGGGTACCCCCTTTGTTTATTTTTTCCAAATTTTAATAAAAAATTTTTTTTTATGTTTTGGTGCAAGCACTCAGTCCAGCTTATTACAAAAATATGTCTTATCTGATCCGCCAACCCAAATTTGCCGGGAAAGAGAAAAAATCGAATTAAAAATTCTTTACTTTTTCAGCAAATATAGACCTCCAAATGAAAATTTTTCTCACGAACCGTTAAATGTAGAAAAATTCTGAGCATTGCATAAGAACGAGCGGTCAATTTTATGTAAGAAATGTCCACTCGCTTGACTCTCGGACGAAAATTGACGAGAATATAGCCGAATAACGAAATTTGAAAACAATCCAAGGGTACCCCCTTTGTATAAAGACTAGTGCTAAATGTAAACCGGAACTTGTAAGGGTATAGGTACACATTAAGTATACGGTCCAGGTAGTTAAATTTAGTCATGATAATTCGGCAGGTATCGGTAATGTGGGTTTTACGATCACCGAGATTGCCAAACAGCTAATTCAATTTTAATATTACCTAAAAACTTTTATTTTTGACTTGATCCCAGAAAAAGAAAGAACGAAAAAAGAAACGACATTTTTTAAATAAGCGCGTCAAAAATATTTAAGATTCTTTAGTACTTCTCCAGTTTCAAAAATTGTTTTTTTAATTTATTGGGCTATATTATAGAATTACTCTGTAATTCAAAATCTATTTCCTTTTCTCTCTCTTGTATCTGTGATTTAAGCATTCAAATAACTTTTTGTTTTTATTCTTTTTTCCACATTTTTCTACTATCTATAGGTCGATATAGATTTGTTTTTTCGTTGATATAGATAAATATATTATTAGACGCTTCCCCATTTTTATTTACAAGGTATATCTCATCCTTTTTTGCTAACTATTTTCGACACTTAGATCCCACTTCTGATTTTCCAGACCAGAACGCCGCCCAAACAGGAAAAGTCTCCTCGGACACAGACTCTGGAATAGCGTCCCCGCTATCCCCCGGCTCGGTGTACGGTTTCTTGGGCCATTTGGATAAGGTTAACGGCTTTCCTAGAAAGCTTTCTTTGGGATACACCGGAAGAGACGACGTTCTGAGAAAGAAGAATTGCTGGTGCGAGGGCGAAAGAGTGCAGGTAAGTGAATGTGTGTGATTTTAATAGGTATTTATTTGATAAGAAACAACGGAGGGGAGATAAAAGGTCGACGGACACGCTCTAAAGTGTCTGAACGGGGTATATTTTTATTAACCCGAGCTATAAATATCTTTTGTCTTTGTGTCAATATATATAAAATCTTAATTATGCAGTAGTTGTCTAATATGTATATAAATTTAAACAACTTTATAATTATTAAGTACTGCAAAACTCGATTCAAATTTTCTAATGCAAACTCTATTGAGATTAGTGCATAAAAATACAATTTAAACAAATTTTCTGTTTTTGCTGAGTAATACCACAAATTCTTTTTAAAATTTATTTTATTTGACTTATTCATATTTAAATTCAGATATACAGATTGAACCAAATTAAAACGGAACATACAATTTAATACATGTCTGTTTGAACTGCATTTGAAATAGTGGACCAATATAAAACTTGGACAAAAATAAATCCATACCTGGGTATAGACATTGTATAAAATATCGTTTAACTATCTGTCTCACAACAATGTTGTTTGCGTAAGACGGGTTTGTCTAAGGAAACGATAATAGTTCAGGAAATGAAGCTCGAAAAAAGTTAAAACCTCGCAATTTTTTCGTCCTGCATATATCCAGTTGAAATTTTAACAGAAGGTAGGTGATAGCCCAAGGATCAAAATCTATATCGAACCGAAGTGCGCTGAAGGGTTTTAGGGGTGAAAACTACCCCTAATTGTCAAAAATTATAAAATAATATATTAAACCTGAATATGGGTAAGATTTGGTTTGAATTAGTTACATAATTATTTTATACTTTTGAATAGAGTTCCATCATATTTCAACCCTTAAAAAGCAAAACTTGTTAGAGATTAATGTAAAAAAATTACTAATTCTAAAAAAATGATTTCGCCTTGGATCGATTTGGATAAAAATTTGGATTTAAGCTCAATTCACCCGCTGCTTTATAGTTTATGTCATGTCGACGAACCCTGATTGTTCTTAGGGGCGAAAACTACACCTAATTTTTAAAAATTGTAAAATAATATTATAAATCTTAAGATGAGTGAAATTTGGTTAGGATTAGTTAAATAGTGATTTTATATACATTAAAATACAAATTCATACATTTTCAACCCTTAAAAATCAATTTTTATGAGTGCTATCGGTGAAAACAATTTTTTGCCAAAGTTTTGCAACTTTTCAACTTTTGAAAATCACCCTTTACAACATTGCAGTTTTTATAAACTAATTTATAAGATATAAATTGAAAAAAGTAGAATTAAATACAAAAAAAAATTTATCAACATAAAAAGGCACCATATATTCTTATACATTTACATAAATAGTTGAAAATATTTACATTTATAGGTAAAAAAATTATAATATTAATCTTATTCGTCATCAATTACATCTTCATCGTGATCTATGTCATCCTCATCTTCAATTATTGGTGAACTATTATTGCACCCTTCACCTGAGCACCCAGAACAAGTAGAGTTACAGTATAAACCAACTTTTCTGCACCCACATAAAACACCGCATCCTTTTTTGCATTGGCAAAAAATAATTTTCAAAAGTTCATCGAGTGCAGGTTGTTTGTTCATGCGTACGGGTAATAACAAACCATCTTTGGAATACCATCCCCAATCTGTTGCTCTGATATTTTCATTGCCAAGCCATAGACATATGAGCAGATGTTTTATTCTGTTGTAAGGGATTTCAAAATTAGAACGCTTAAAATTTCGAATGTATAACGCCCCACTAGCTAATATACCGGCTTTGTAGATTATTATGCTCCCAATTGTACTGTACTATACTAATGGAATTTTCCGGAAAAAAATTCACTGTTTTTTTTACCGTATTTCCTTTAATTTTTAACGATAGAGTGTTTCTTCAAAAACGATTTGTTGAGGTTTTTAAGAGCTACAAGGATCTGTGAATTAAATCTTTTTGGAACCCTTGGTTTTTAAATGGGGTGAGTTTAAAGGGCTCGAAAAAGATGGTGCTTGATCGTAAATCGATATTTTAAACGGCTATATCTCGCCAAATATTCATTATACAACAAATCTAAATAAAGGATAATTTTAGTCACTAAAAAAACTACAATTTGGTAATTTCTATTTTTTTCATATATTCAGTATTTTCGAGCATATTTAAAAAAAGAAGGGTAAAAAATATGAAATTGTAAATCGTTTCTCGTTTTACGCTGTACTTTTTCTAACACAAAGCATTTTAAATGGGTCAAACTTCTTGGACCTATTAACAATACATGTACAAAGGGAATTGCAGAAGGGTGAAGATCGATTTTAATTATGAGGGTGGTTAGGGGGTTGTTTTCATCGGTTTTTTCGTAAAAAATAAGGTATTGACCTTATTTTCATCATAACTCACTCAATTTTTGAGCTAGAGTCTTTTTTATGATATGTCTATTTATGCTCTTTAAAAAAGGTTTTGTGAGTTTTCTTCCAAAAATGCATCATTTTCCCGATACTTATTTGACTTTGAATCTTTCAAATTTGGCATTTGAAGAAAACCGCTGAACATTGCTAGGCCGTATTTTGGTTCCTATTATATCGCAAAAACATTTTAAAAAATGAATTATATTTGTCTTTTTAAAAGCTACAAATTTGTTCTCTACAATTTTTTTGATAAAATGCACCATTTTCGAGTTATTCGCGAAAAATCGATTGAAAACGTGGATTTTTTTGTCTAGAAGTTGTTACTTTCAATCGCGAATAACTTGAAAAATATCATTTTATAAAAAAAATGTATAGCACATTTTTTGTTTAGAATCACTTTTTTAATCGAAACCTGTAGTTAAAAAATTGCGAGGTGAAATACATCATTTCCTGGACTATAACTGGTTTGACAGCATAAATCGTAGATTTATGTGTAGCTTTCAATTTTTATGAGTTCAGAATCCAGCAGCCCGCTGAAGTATGGGATTTTTATAACGTAATTATTTGACAATCTTTTGTTGGCCAACCACTTACAGCAGAATTGAGCCGAAATACATTATATTCCTATGTTCCGAATTTATTTCGTTCAATCTGTATATTGACAGAGCTAACAACAATCAAAATCATCTGGGCATGATAAATAATATCGCTGTTGTAGATAAATTTGTGTATCTGGGCTCATTAATAACCAACAAAGGAAGCTGTACTGAATAAATAAAGCGACGGTCGGCAATCGCAAAAAGCGCTATGGCAAAATTAACAAAAATTTGGAAAAGCCATGAAATAACTACCGATACAAAAATGAAACTAGTAAGAAGTCTAGTTTTTCCAGTTTTTACTTATGAATCGGAATGCTGGACCCTTACTGAGAAAGACAAAAAGAACATAGATATATTTGAGATGTACTGCTGGAGACGAATGCTGAGAATACCATGGGTGGCCTGAAGAACAAATGAATCCATACTGGACCAGTTAAACATAAAGAAAAAACTAAGACCACAAATATCAGAACAAATAATAAGCTATTTTGGACATGTGCTTCGAAGAAATGGTCTTGAAAAACTTATCATCCAGGGAAAAGTAGAAGGGAAAAGAAATCATGGATGAAATCATCCAAAGCGTTAGCAAAGAAAGAGGATACAGAATAGGAAACAAAGAGATCAAAATACTCTGTTACGCAGACGAAGCAATATTAATAGCCCAAGATGAAGATACTCTGCTACACTAGAAGATAGCAAAGACTGGTTCGCAGATTTAAAATAAGAACAAAAGAATTTAATATGAGTATCTTATCTCAGAAAACTAAAACAATGGTAGTCAGGAAAAAACCAACCAGATGTAAAATAGGAAATGCTGGCATCAGTATTGAACAAGTAATGGAAATAAAATACCTGGACATTGGAGTGACAACCTTCTATAGAGGTGTTAATCCGCAAAATGAACAAGCAGAACTAATTATAAACAGAAAAAAGGGTACTACTGAGAAAATAGGGAGAGTGCTAAGAAAACACAAAAAAGAAACGATATTTAATACCGATAGAAAAATCTCAACCATTTTACCATTCGCCAAAATAAAAATATGGTTAGAAAATCAAGGAGTATACGAGATTCCGTGTGGGGACTGTGACAAATCGGACAGACCAACCGAAGAATCAATGTTAAATGAGAAGAACATCGAAAGGAAAGAAAAACATTGTCCTTTGCCCAACAAGTCTCAAACACAGGACACATAATAAACCTGAACCAAACTACGATGCTAGCTAACATTGAAATTAAAAGAAAACGCGAAATCAGAGAACTAATAGAAAAAGAAAAAATCCCAACAGACTAAACCAAAGAGATGATGCTTAAAGACTTCCAACAACATGGAAAACGGTATTAAAGAAAAAGTCTAAAATACATCAGACCACAACACCGACTAGTAGGCCTCTGTCTACCTACACACAGACAGAACCAATCACCAGGGCATCAAGAAACCTGGCCACTGTAAAAAGAAATGCAGCCACCAAGAGAGTCAGTTCTACAAAAACACAAAAAACCGGCTTCGGCCACCAAAAAAATTAAAAAATTACTAACAAAAACCGGCTTCGGTCACCAAAAAAAATGAACAAACCCCCAAAACCCGGGCACATGGGGCCCAACCCCTTGAGCACCAAATCGCCGAACTGAGCCGGGACTCAGAGCGGAGACTTGAGTTCCAAGTAAGCAATTTTAGTTCGCGAATAAGCGACCTTAAGATAACAGGAATATAGCGGAGATGCGCTGTCCTGAGTTTTTGCATTCGGTTAGGAAGCCATGTTGGGGTTCTATTACTCAGGACATTCACATAAAGAGCATTTGGCTGATTGTTGTGCCTCTATAGAGCATCAGAGTGCTATAGGAGCGAAAGGGATGGTCTAGAGTATTGGAGCACGGTGGGGTGACTCCTGTTTATACTCGAGTTAACACACCTTGCTCCAATGAATTGTTACACCCGATCGTAATTCTTAGGGGTGAACATTTCTCATAGGCTGGGTTTAGTCAAATTGCTTGCTTGAAGAGAGTCAGTTAACTT